TCTCTGAAAATTAAATACAACATTAGAAAAGGCAGATTAGTTGATATAAGCTAGTATATATTAGAATATTGAGCTACAAATCTGATAGAAGTAGCTTGAATATTTTTGATGGAATTTCAAGTAGGAAATTTCAAGTATGCAAAAATGGTTGCAAATTATTCTGAATGAATATTAGAGTATCATTTATACTATCAAAGAATAGACAGCAAGACACATAAAATAGTTTCCTCCTTAAAAAATAAATACTAAATACAGACTTGATCGTACTGTATAATATTTTATGATTATTTCTCCTCTGGGTGATAAATGACAACATATTTTCAAGTTGAAAGTGACAAGCTTCAAAGTTTAAAAATTCAAATTGGTTATTTTTCATCAGTTGCTGTTTTTAAAAAAGACATTGATAGATATAAAGGTCTTAACTTAAAAGTGGAGTTTATGCCAGTGTCCAGTGTGGAACATATTTACAACTAGATTTCTAATATTAAAAAAAATTATGTGTTTTGCCAAGTGCTGTCACATCATGTGATCATATAAACATATCTGTAAATTAGAAAGTTAAGCTATTCAGAATAAATTATTCTATACACCAATAATGATATTCGTGGAACATTTTTTCTGTGGACTTTTTATGTTGTCTTATTATATACTCCAAATAAAAATACAGCTTTATTTAAAAACAATGTAAATATAGCCACATTTATACTTTTAAAGTTTCCGGACCTTCATCCTTTATAGAATTAGAGATGTGTAAATACAGGTTGCCTCATTAAATATAGTGAATTTTATAATGAGTTTTACTAATTTAAATGCAATTATACATGCTAACAGCTCAAAGATTTAAATTTTCATTTTCAGGAATCTTCTATTTGGTTAGTGCCACCCTACCATCCAGACACTGTTTAGTAAACTTTTGAAACTTACTAAAAGAGGTTTTTAATAATGGTTAGTATCCTTGTGCCTTTCTTTTTTCTTTTTGTAGTCTGTTATATTAATGTGGAGAAACATTTTTGTTGTTGTTTTCACCCTAAGAAAGTTACCTTATTTAATGACACAATTTGTGGTTTTCCATTCCTAAGAAGTGATTTGAAAAGCAACATAGTTTTCTTTCTCTTCCTCTCACCCTCCTCCCTCTTTGTCTTCCCTCCCTCTCTACTTCCTTCCTCCCCTCTCTATTGCTCTCTTTTTTCTTTTATTCTTTATTCTGCCTCTCCTTTCTCCTCTCCTCCTCCCCACCCCCTTTTCTTCTTCTTTATTATAATCCAAGAAACTCCTGTTACATGCACTTGGGTTTTTCAAAATCTTATTTAATATTTCAATAAAAAGGCATTTTTAAAGTTCCAATTATTATATGAAGTAGGAAAGACAGATTGTCTCTTGAATGACATTAGAACTTTATTTAAAAGTTAGACATAGTAATTTTTTGGCAACATACGGCACAGGGAAACAACTATAATTCACCATCATTTCTGAAGTTTCAACTTTAGATTTTAACACAGATTACAATGTGGAATTTGCATTCTAAAGCTTTAAAAAAAAGTAGAGAATATGTTTTTGTCCTAGTGCCACAAATGAACAGTGCTTTATGATATCATTACATTCTTTCAATTTTCCATGTAGATTCTAAACTCTTACTGAGATCTAAATTTTCATAGTTTTGTGAAAGATTAGAAATATTCTACAAGAAGAGAACCCATGGTTTCACGGTGACTATTAATAACCTAAAATAAAACTATTTTCTAGGTACACATACACTAATAGATCAAGAGAACTGGTAAAATACCACTCATTCGAAGAAAAAAATAGTAAAAGTAGTAATTTGACATTAAATAAAACCAAGCTATTGGTTGGTTGATTAAAGGCTGCTTGATTAAAATGTTCACTTTCTAATAGTTTTGTAGACTAGATAAAGCCTAAAATAGTAATGGCGGGGTCACATGCTTGTAATTTTCAGAACTTCTAAATTTGTAAATATAATTTATTTAGGATAATTTTAATTTGTAAAAGGTGATGGTATTGTGGTTTTTGATTGGTGCAGACTTTTTTAACCTACATTTTATATTACTCAACAATATAAATGTTATACAAAATTACTTAAAAGAGTTTTATATGCCTTTATTTGTAGTCTGAAGTTAAGTACAGGGTACTAAATATACTTTACTCTTTCATTACTAGAAATAAAATTGAGTCATTTCACAGTTGAATGGGTATGTATATTTAGAAAATTTTTTTCCCAAAGGAAATCAGCTGTTTAGGACACTCTTTTAGTATGGACAAAAAATAATAATTAGTTTATTTGAACTAATATATTCAAAATGTCTAAAAATCGAGTTTGCCAAGAAGAGGGTTTTATTTAGCATTGCAAAATTTATTCATTTTAAATGAAGGCTTATTTCAGACAATTCAACGTTTTTCACATCCTATAACATTTTAAAGTGTCAATGGCATCAAGTTCTGACCTTGTTTTATTATCTAATCAATTCTTCTGTTAAATGTTTCAACAGAGAGCCAAGACTAAGTTACCTCAAGACTATGTATTCTTCCCCCTTTTGGAGTCAGATTTTTCCATTTCTACAGTGTTGTCATCATCACCATCTTCATCATCATTATCATCATGTTCTTAATAAGTACATCTAATAGTAGGTATTAAGCAATGAGAAACACTGTGTCCATCTACTGGCTGTCAGTGTCATATAAATCCTTTAATAGAAATATAATTCATGAACTTCTGAACTGTATAATTTAACACATTATAAATAATGCATGGCAGTAACTGTAGTTAATGGGAAATCCATGTGTAGCATTTAATCATCACCCATTACAAGTACTAATAAATTAATATTTTTACTAATTTAATGTTATTAAACAAATGCCAAAGTTTTACCTGATTAATCAGATAACTCATAGACATGCATTTTACTAAGCTTCTGAAAAAACTTTTAAGCAAATGAATTAAACGCACTGTTAAATTAGAATTCAAATATTAGGGTCATGTGTAACTGTTGTTAAAATTCAGTCAACAGTTAAAGAATACATGTGTGCTCACTCATTGCCATGAGAATTTGATTTCTGCTCTTTACAATTTAGTGAGAAGGATACACAGAAGACAGTGAGGCCAGATAGAAAAACATGACAATGAATGCAAAATGCTAGAGGGACAAAACCACATTGAATGAAATAACGATTCTGGTCATTTGGAAAGTGATTTCTGAATAACTGAAAATATGAGTCATGTCCTGAGATGAGGGATAAAGTTGGATTGATATGAAGGGTGAAAGAATTCTGCAGGGCACTAGAGCAAGAAGCGAAGGAGAAAAAAATCCTGGAGGTCCAAGCAGAGAAGAGTATATGTAGAGAAAAAAGAAATGGAGAGGGGAAATTGAGGAGGAAGGAGGAAAGCTGAATCATAGAAGTCATGATGGGGAAAAAACAGGACATTTGGATTTTATCTGTTTGTTGGACAAGGAAATACTATTAATAACTGGTTTAAAAATAGATTTTTCTGTTATTTGTGAGCCTTTGGAGAAGGGTAGCCTAGACATTAGAGTTGGGAATACCAATAAGGAAACTGTTCAGGAACCCATAGAAGAGAAATGAAGATATAGCCAATAATGGACAAGAAGATACTAAGACAGGGTCAAAAATCACAAAATTGGGTATCAGGATATATTGCTGTAGTCTCAGGTATGAGCCACAGAAAGTGATTTATTTGCCTTTTCTCTGAATCAGTTTTCTGTCACATAGATGCCTACTTTAATTCAAAGTATTAGTTTGAATGACACAAAAGATTATGCATGCAAAATATGTTTACAAACATAAGGCACATAAATGGTATTCAATATTTTATCCTGTATTATTTTGGAATTAGCCTAAACTGATAAACGATAAAGCAGTAACATCTAAAGGAAAAAATGTCTTCATACGCAAACTTGATTAGGTTTATTTCACTGTTTTCATATCACTGTTAGGAACTGTATAAACTTTTCATATTTGTCCACATTTTTGGTTGTTGTTCGTACTTTTAGTGCTTGCACAGAAAGAGCCTAAGTCTCAGCCCATCTGAATTCCAACTACAATATGAAACTTGTCCATGAATCTGATTCATATGTAACTAATACATGTGTATCTCAATTAACTGGGGAAGGAGACTAACAAAATTTTGTTTCACATATATGACTCTGTAATAGGAATTGTGAGGAATGTGTAATAATGAGCCCCAGATATACAGAATTTCTAACAAAATCTATTGCCAATGAAATGGGAATTAAAATAATATTTATAGGGTCATTTTTTCTTCATGGAATAACTTATTTGCCAGCTTTCAGTCATGAAGCCTATGTTGACAAAAAAATTAATATTCATGTATTTTTAACGTGCTACAGTTTGTCATTTCATGATTAAATCATATCTGTTTGTAATCATCATCGATAGCTTTATAGGCATAATCACACCAAGATATGATGAATACCAGAAATTATTTTCCATGTTTTTATGTCTAAATGTGTGAGTACTATTTTTGTTCTGTTTTGAGATGCACAATGTAGAATCCATGTTTAAAGAAAATTTTCATATTTCATGTTGTGATTTAAAAGTAGTACATTTCTTCTATTTGTTAAAAAATCTAGAATGGATTTCTGGTTATTGATTTGTGTATATGTGTTTGTATTTAAATTTTAAGGTAGATTTATATTTCATGATGTTAATAAATTTTACATCTGAAAATCTTATTCAACATATACATACTATATGCATTCCTTGTTGGCAGTTTATTTCACTGTCGGGTGGAGATTTTCTTTAAACTAGCCCACTTTGATAAAAATATTTGAAATATCATGAGTTGTTTATTAAAAGTGCAACAACTGTTATAATCTTCTTAATGAAATATTTCAAACCTTCAAGGCTTTTATGTTGACAAGTCTGTTGAAAATGAGTTTAATATTATTTCTGGGCAGTTGCAGTGTATCTGTTTTGTAATATTTCATTCTCTGTGTTGTTCCTAGAGGTCCTTCTGTAGCGCTATGGTGGAAGAACTGAGGATGTCCCTGAAGTGCCAGCGACGGTTAAAACACAAGCCACAGGCCCCAGTTATTGTGAAAACAGAAGAAGTTATCAACATGCACACATTTAACGACAGAAGGTTGCCAGGTAAAGAAACCATGGCATAAAGCTGGGAGGCCAAACACCCAAGCACAAACTGTCGTCTTTTTTTCCAAACAATTTAGCGAGAATGTTTCCTGTGGAAATATGCAACCTGTGCAAAATAAAATGAGTTACCTCATGCCGCTGTGTCTATGAACTAGAGACTCTGTGATCTAAGCAGTTGCAATGATCAGACTTGATTTGCAAGCATCACGGATCAACCAAGTTACACTGGGTTACACTGTTTATCATGGGTTCCTCCCTTCTTCTGAGTGAATGTGACATGCGCATTTTGTGGCTGGTTTCAAATGCAGTCCAGTAGGAAATTACAGGTTCCTTTTGAAGTCCAACTGTTGCCAGGAGGTGGAAAATCGATGCCCCAAGGGTAACCAGTAAAAAAAAAAAAAAATCATTAAAGAATAAAAATACTTGGAATCAGCAAAAACTGTAGTGATACAAGAAACAGTACAGTCTTCTGACACCCAGGTAATAGAGGTGATGATGTTACTAGCCCCCAGCTACTCAGTATAATATCATCTGAATAGACGATATGTGTTTTTATAGGATGTGAAAAAAAATGTAATGCAAAACAAATCTGAATTTCATGGCAAGTGGAATATAAAGCAGATATTCATCAGTGTTTTTCTTTCTTTCTTTCTTTCTTTCTTTTGACAGCCTGTGTCACTGATTGAGATAGAAATGTCAATTACCAAGGCAATAATGTTTTTCTTAAATTTACTAAAGCAGGAGATTTCACATACAACTCTACCGGATCCTTACCCTACCCCCTTATACCCTTTCCCCAATCCCATCCCCCGAATAAAAGGGCAACAGTTGGTTCAGAGATTCTGAATGAAAAAGGATGATGTTCTGCAATCTTTGTCTTAAGTCGTAAAAGAGGGCTGAGTATTGATGGTTATGTGGAAGACTGAAGCTTTCATTCTAACATTCAGATATGTTCATCTAAACCCTCGTTCCCACTCTAAATGAACTTGATGGAGCCTGGGCAGATCTCAGTGAAAGGAGAAAGGGGACTGTTCATCTATAGAAAAGTATGTGTGGAGAACTTCGAAGCGGACTGCATTTATCAATACAGTCACAATGTTAAATGAACAAAATTCTTGAGCAGTTTTTTTCAAAAAAATGTTCAGGTTTATTTGTGGAAATGCAAGATTTCTATGAAAATAGTTTTTGTATGGAAATTTTTGTAATACTTTTTATCAACAAAATAAGAACATGTGTTCCTGTCAGGGGTGTGATGCCAAGCATGAATGGTAGTGCGTGTGCACCACCAACGTTTGGTGAAAACTATTTTTATCAAGAAAAAAAGGAATCATAGAAGAGAAATATTTTCAAGTTAGATAATATAAAAGCTAGGTGCACTACCACCACTGCTTACCATGCCACACCCCTGGTTTCCACGAGGCTGATAACATACTGTAATGAACAATTGTGTGTAAAATGGCAAAAGACACAGACCTCTTGACAACATTGTGATAACAGTTGAGTGCACACAGTTTGCTGTTTGAATCCAATGCACAAAATTAAAAAAAAAAAAACATTAAAATTATGTCCATTTTACTTTCAGCTTTGACTTTCATTTTTCTCTTGTATGTGTAAATGAATGCACAATATGTTCATGGCATTCAGGGAATTCAGGGATTCCTGAAACCTTCTAGATCATCAAGGATGGCCACTTCCCAACCACCTGGAGAAAAGAAGAAAAAGGCTCAGTGATGAACTACACAGATGTAGGAAAAGCTGGACTGGGCTGTAATGTAATCTCTAGGTTTATGGCAGTTTAAATGAGAAAAATAGCAGTTCTAGAAGCAGCAGTCATGATCTTACTTTTTCCACGAGTAGATATTGACTATATTCATAGGGTTGTGTAAGACTGTGTAATGTTTACTAATAATATATTTGAAGTTTAACCCATGTCCAACTTAAGAATTCCTTGTGCATTGATAATTCAGCTAAAGGAGAGGAGGAGATAGGCTCAATACCAACAAATTAGTAATGATGTGGTTTAGATGTTAACATCCTGACAGAACTTTGTTTTAAAGCAAAAAAGGTAACCATTTAAATTAGAAGTGACCAAAAAAAAAAAAAAAAAAAAAAAGAAAAGAAAAAAGAAAAGCCTCTGTATTTTTTTAAACTCAGAGAAGTTGCATAATCAAATTGCTGATATCTAATTAAATTACAAATTAAATGAACAAGTATTTTGAAAATTTCTAGTATCAGTTATTTTAAATTAAAATTCATATTTCCATGATGATTTTGTTACCAAATTTAATTTTGGAGAGGTACACAAGCCACTTCTAAACATCTCAGCATTATTTTTTTTACATGGTAAATAGCCTCAACATATCTCATAAAAATGTTCAGATTTTGGATAATATTAAGTTTTTTTATTGATTAGATTCTAATCAAATTTTAAATCAGTTTTTAATTTTAATTATTCATTATATTAAACTAAATAATAGACAGGAAATTACAACTTTAATTATTTTTAAGAAGTCAGGAAATAATGATTTCAATTTTTCATAAAATGTGGCAGTCATTTTATTCAAGTATTAAAACATTTTGAAAAGTGTAAAAACACCTTCTGTATTTTAACTCTAATGGTAATTTAGGATATAGAAACAGTGTATAATATTGAATTTTTATCCATTTCCTAAAAGGTTTCTACATTATTGCCAAACAGATATTTCCCTACTTAATAGGTACTTATGCATCTATGAGATACTATTCTTAATCTTAATAAAATCTTGGTTACTTTAAAAATAATTTCAACCAGTGAAAAAATGTGTCTTCTCTCTGGGAAGGTAGTATATTGGAGTAAGCATTTTTCTCTAGCCTAGTACTTAAATTGTAAGAAGGACAGGAAGAGAACACCTATTACAATCAACAACATAACCTGACAACTTCAGGTAATCAATGGAGGTACATATATCATAAGTAACTCCAGCCACTATGAAACACTAGCGGTATGGATTCACATATGCCATAACTAAATAACCCTAACCAGATTAAAACACCAATGATCTATCATCTATCTATCTATCTATCTATCATCTATCTATCTATATTGAGGCTATATAACCCTAACAACTATGAGAATACCAAATCCCAAGGAGAATTCACATATTTACGGATGAACAGCCCTAACCACTATGAGAACACCAAGTTGATATATTTTATCTTACAAATATGTAAATTGGATAAGGATATTTTATGAGTTAAAATGTTTCTAATATTTTACAACTCAATTACATTTTTAATACATGTTCCTTGTTATTATTGAATGAGTATATATCCTAAACACTAATGATTTAAAAGTATTTTAGCAAAATGTTACTTTTTAATATTTGTTTATTTTGAAATATACATACAACAAATTGTATACAACAGAATTATGGCATCTAGTTGTTGTGTACACCAAAAATTGATCACCAGGAATAATCTGTTCTATATATTCTGTGACTAGGCTCCTTGTCTCCACCTCCAACTCTGAAATGTAAATTTAAGCCGAGTACTTTCATAGACGAGAGTACCCAGCTGTTTCAGGAAATAGAGCACTCATGTACAGCAAAAATATCATCAGTGTCTGATCAATGAAAGCAAAGTGTGAATAACAATATGAACTAGGATCACCTGAGAATTATGTTTTCAGGCTTAAAAGATGGTACAATGGCAGTGAAGATTTTGGTCATGACAATCCTGAATGTATCTATAATTTGAGTCACACTGTCCCAATGTGGACTGATGTTTGGCCCTCTGTATGAGACTCCTCTCTTCTTCTGCCTGCTGAGGATCTTATTCTCAATCATGTTGAATCTCCTGTTGCCTCTAATATATATCTTCTCTCTTCTAGATGTATCACTAATTATGGTGGCTTCTAGAGAAGAGGTCCAGGACAGTTCCATTTTATGAGATATTTCTGTATCTCTGATTATGTCTGAATGCTTTTATTCTACTTTCATTAGTAATTATAAATTTTGCTGGGTATAGAGTTCTAAGTTGAAAATAATTTATACCTAGATGAATTTCAAGGTGTCTTTTCATTGCTTTCTTACTTCTAGTCTATTTGTAGAAAAACCTGAAATCATTGAGATCCTTGATGCTTTGTGATTTTTTAAGTTTTCTCTTAGGTTTCTTTGATCTCTTTGTCCCTAGTGTCTCGAAATATTCCAGTGATAGGCATGGATCTACCTTTATTCATCATGCTGGGCTTTTGCTAATTTTTTTCTATTTAGGTACTGTTGTCCTTTGGTTTGGGGAAAACTTTCTGAATCATTACTTTGAGGATTTCCTTTACTTTCTCTTTTCACTCTGATGACTTCTCTTGACATTAAATTATTTTAATTTTTATGATTTCTTGTTTCATGGCTGCAATATCTTCTCTTATATCTCTGAAAACATCAATAGCAATCTTATTACATTCCCTTCTTTCTGAAAAGACCTGTTTCATCCAAGTTGCATTTTTCTGTTGGTTTCTTTGGATTCCTATCTTCTATGTTAGAGGTATTCTTCAAATTTTTGTCTTTAATTCTTAGCAGCCTGTTAATAATTAAGAAAAGCGGGGAGCGCCTGGCTGGCTCAGTGTCCGACTTTGGCTCAGGTCATGATTTCACAGTTTGTGGGTTCAAGCCCCGCATTGGGCTCTGTGCTGACAGCTCAGAGCCTGGAGCCTGCTTTTGATACTCTCTCTCTCTCTGCTCCTCCCTCATTCATGCTCTGTCTCTCAAAAATAAATAAAAGTTAAAAAAATTAAAAAAAATAATTAAGAAAAGGGGACTAAAATATGAGTTGGGAGTTCTACATGCGCAGATGTGTAAGAGAAAATATTTATCTTACTTGAGCTTTGCCATAGATTTATCTAGACGGGCTATTCATTGATGAATTTTTCAAAATGTCCCTATCTTTGGATATTTCCTCTTAGTCCTGTTAGATTCTTAACAAAAAGTTTCTTTTAATTTCTTGCATAGAGATTAAGGTCCTGATGGTCAGTGTTTTGGTAATCATT